CAATGCTTGCAACTCTTGTATCTACTTGTAAACTTATTCTGTTAGTTCGATTTTATTTTTGTTTTATTGTTTTAATGTTGCAGTGCAACACTCTTCGTTACTGATGTTTTAGTGCGACGAAAACTGTGGTGCTATTTAATGCATTTATATATATGTTTATATATGTGTTTATATATGTGTTTGTTTTTATATGAGCGTTTAGAAAAAAAAGAAAACTTTCCGATTGGTCCTACGCGTAGAGTTTCTTTCTACCAATATTAAGGTAACGAAAAGTTATATCCTTGAACGAGGTGACCGTAATATAATTCAGAAGAAAAAACAAGACATTATCGACTTGATAAATTCCTACGCATTATCGTATGATTGTAAAACTTGAGATCGAATATTTTCCTCACTTTATGGTCCGCTCATCAAAGAGTCAACACTCACGCTTAGCCTTTCGTAAGGCGTATTTTTTAATATTCCCTCAAAAAATAACAATATTATTATATACTTATAATAATATTATATATACTTATATTTTTCGAATTACAATATTTGAAACAACACTTTAACTAAAGATATTTCTTATGTTCAATGTTTCAAAAAAGATACTTTCAATAAATTTCAAATAAATCTCATATAACACACTTAGTTTGCCGGTCTTATTAGCAATTAGATTGACTTATGTTTTTAGTGAATATTTAATTTAATTAATTGTGTTTTTATACTTTTACAATTCATTTGTATGTGCTTTCAAAAAATACTAAATTTTATAAATCTAGGATAATTAGTGTCACGATTAGTACAATTTGTGCATGAATTTCTTATTTTTATAATTATCTTCTAATAATATTTTTGATTGACACGTTAATTGTTAAGTTAATAGACGTTTACTTTTCTATATATTTTGAATAAGCAGATCTTATACCTTATTTTGACAAATGTACATCTTTGAACGTTTCACCACGACTCAACTTGTTTCGTTGATTGATCCTTCAGCTGTGCAACACTATATCAACGTTTAATGTAAGTCCAAAAAGGAAAGACAGTACAGAGATAATATAATATATATATCGAGAAATAAAAAAGTCTCTTTTCCGTATCTAATCAAGTTTAATATTTTCCACAGAAAGTTTTTTTTCGTTCATGATATCAATTCCTTGAAACCATATCAATAGAAACATCATATTCACAATTAAGCAAATAATATGTACAATAAAAGAAAAGTTATAGTTGTATGCCAAAAGATTAATGTTTGTTATTTAATTGTGTGTTATATTCTATTTATAATTATTATTTATATTACTTGCGTAATAATTTTGATTTTTTAATAAAATAATAACATTTAGAAAAGGAAAAAACTTTACACGCTATATAATATAAAATTTTCCCAAAATATAATATTGTATCCAAATAAAAAAAACTTTAAATGGGTTTCTCTCGAAACTATGTTTGTCAAGTCGATGATCACTATAATTAAATAACCGCTCCGTGGATTTGGATGAAATTTCTATTACTTATTAATAGCACTAAAAACTAGTCCTTCATCCAAGGATTTTCTTTTATGTACAAAATTTCAATTCTTTTTTAAACAATAGATTTATGATGTTTTTGTCGAAAATCGAAAAAAATGCACAAAGCCATTTCGTTAATTTTCAAAAAAATAAAAAAGCTTCGATGGAAGACTAGATTTATTATTAAACTAATGATTTTTATTTTTTTTTTATTTTAATTTATCGAAGTAAGATGCTTTAATGGTCACCGCAAAGCATTACTTGCGAAACGGGGTCTAACAAAAAAAGATGGCAATATTTTTATAAATAATTAATATTGTTTTTTTAAATTTTGTAGAAGTCAAGTTGAAAAATAATATAAAAACTCTGTGTAATCAGTTTTATAAAACAAACTTAATTATGATAAAAAAAAAATTATTCAAAATTCTCCCCTTTTCACGCTTCTGACTGCATCTCTCCCCTTAAGCTGGCTGCAACAAGACTATGTTTTACAAATAGAGCAATCATAGACATTCATGAACGTTCATAAACTTTATAAAAATGTATTGAACGTATCATTACCAGGTGGTGCTCGGTAATTTCTTCTAAAATAGTCCAGGCAACAAAAGGAGAACTTGGAAAATTTAGCTCCCTTGTTAAAATTTGATATAATGGTAATTCGACGACGCTGAATCAAATAGTGCTAATTTTTTTGCAATTGGATCACGAGATCTTTGAGAAAAAGGGTAAAAAAGGGTAAAAAGGCCATATCTTAGAATCTATGCATTTAATCGAAAAAAGTTTCAAACAAAAGTTGTGTTAAATTAAAAAATACATAAAAAATGTTCGAAGGTGTATCTTTGTATTTGCAAAAATAAGCGAGAAAATGAAGGTGAAAGGTAATTGTAAGAGAGGGGGCAAGCCACGCCTCTTCGTGAGTCTTTACACGCAAACGAGCTATTGTGCGTTATCTTGGGGTCTCTCGGTCGCGTAAATGCGAGTGCGAGTGAGAAAACAAATGGATATTTCTCCCTTTCTATTTGCTTAAGCGATAGTCGGGCCTTTGCTCGAGGATGTATTCTTTTCAACGTTGCTTAAATTGTAATTTGTATTTGATATTCTATAGAATATAAAAGTATTATGTACGATGCCTTGGAAAAACTCTCGAAAAAGTCTTATTTTCGTCTTCCTCTGAAGGCTCTTTAAATTCATAGTAATGCCTGATTTCCGGCTTTGACGATAGCATATACAATTATTATCAATATTTTGGAAAATGATATATTCAGTTCTGATATATATCTGATGACACAAACAATAGACAACATGACGCGTTTATTTTTATTTAAAAAGTATTTATACAAAAGTAATACATTTTCTCAAAGAATTATTCTATTAATTATTAAATATTATTTGTATTGATGATGATTGTAGCACACCCATGCAATCTGATATTTCGTTGAATATATCTCATCTTCCGACAAATGTTTTAATCTTTGACTACGGTTGCACCAAATGTACCAGCGAGTAATTCAGTAAAATCTCAGTTAATGTTATTATATTAACAGTGTCAACGGCCATGCCGTGCTAACAGCACTAGTTCTCGTTCGGTAACTAAGTTAAGCAATGCTAGGCACCGTTAGTACCTAGATGGGCAAATCGCTTTTAGGAATAACGCTTGCTGTTGACGCCAAGACTTCGCCTAATTAACCTCTGGAGTTGGTCCCAAGCTCAGATAAAAAGAAGAGGTTTTGAGGGTGAGGCTAGCAACCTATCTTCGATAAAATCAATAAACCGCTTCTAGAAATAGCAATAAAAAAAAGTATTTTAACAAGACAAAGTCCTAATAAAAAGGGAAGGAAGAAAAAGATATTAAAAGTGAGTGTTCGAATGATTCAGTGAGTCATTATAAAGTAGGTTCTTTTTTTCCATCCGAAAATATATATTTATAAAAACAATCTATCGAGTTCATCAAAAAAAAAGGATCTTCGGTTCGATTAAATTGTAATTCGGGCGATTGCTCTACCGTTTGAGCTACCTTGGAACATGGTCTAAAATTATGTAATTCTTAAATACAACCAGACACAGTAAGAAAATATTAAACTAAGGAAATTAAAGATATCACTTCTTTTCAAGAAGCTTACATCAATAAAATGTAAGTCTTAATGAAAGAAATAATTTAAATACATTATATTACCCACGCACTAGTCACTTACCACTACACCATACTACAACACTACTATACACTACACATTATATACCGGATTTTCCTACTTGCATAATGAACTTTCATTACGTAGTTGCCACTAGTAGTAATTGACTAGTGAGTGAGATTATTTCTCAGTCTTATAGGTGGTTATCAAATATGATTAGGAAACTAAATAATACTGCGACGTTCCTCTTACAGCAGCTGGAAGGGAATATAATATAAACTTAAAAGTCTAGCTATATCACTCTACTTACTTATGAGTAAGTAAATAAATTTTAGAACCATCGGTTCCTAGGCCGGGATTTGAACCCGGAACCTCTCGCTTACCGAACGAACGCTCTACCAAMTGAGCTACGAAGTCCTACGTAAATATATCGCTTAACACTCGTATATATACAATTAATGTCAATACTTTGAAAATAGATTACGTTCGGATATATTTTAGATGACACAAACAATAGACAACATGACGTTTATTTCAGTTAAAAAGTATTTTTTCAAAAGTTACACACTTTCTCATAGAATTATTCTAGTAATTATTAAATATTATTCGTATTGACGATTATTGTTGTACACCCATGCAATCTGTTATCTCGTTGAATATATCTCATCTTTCGATACTAGTTTCAATCTTTGATTACGGTTGCACCAAATGTGCTAACGTACGATGCAGTAAAATCTCAATTTATATTCTTGTATCTATAGTGAGTGTCCGAATGCTTCAGCGAGTCATTACAAAGTAGGCTCTTTTTCCCATCCAAAAATATATATTCAAATAAACAGGCTATCGAGATCATTAAAAAAAAAGGATCTTCGGTTCGATTAAATTGTTTTTCGGGCGATTGCTCTACCTTGTGAGCTACCTAGGAACATGGTCTAAATTTTTGTATTCTTAGATACAACCAAACACAGTAAGAAACTACATAACTAAGGGAAATAAAAATATCACTTCTTTTCCAAAAGCTTACATCAATAAATGGAAGTCTTAAAGAAAGAATTATTGACTATTGTCGTAAAGACTTACACACATTAGTCACTTACCCACTATCCCATTCTACAACAACACTATGCACTACACATTACATACCGGATTTTCCTACTTGCATAATGTACTTTGATTACGTACTTGCTTAGTGGAAATTGACTAATGAGTGAGATTATCACAGTCTTATTTTTTGTTATCAAATATGATTCGTATACTAAATAATACTGTACGATACCTCTTACTAGTGGCTGGTTGGGAAAATAATATAAACTTAAAGGTCTAGCTATATCACTGGACTTACTTATGAGTAAGTAAATAAATTTTAGAACCATTGTTTCTAGGCCGGGATTTGAACCCGGAACCTTTCGCTTACCGAACGAACACTCTACCAACTGAGCTACGAAGTCCTACGTAAATATATCGCTTAACACTCGTATATATACAATTAATATCAATACTTTGGAAATAGATTACGTTCAGATATATTTAAGATGACACAAACAATAGAGAACATGAAACGTTTTATTTTATTTAAAAAGTATTTATTCAAAAGTTATACACTTTCTCATAGAATTATTCTAGTAATTATTAAATATTATTCGTATAGACGATTATCGTAAAACACCCATGCAATCTACTATTTCGTTGAATATATCTTATCTTTCGACACGAATTTCAATCTTTGATTACTGTTGCATCAAATTTGCTAACGTACGATGCAGTAAAATCTCAATTTATATGCTTGTATCTATAGTGAGTGTTCGAATGCTTCAGCGAGTCATTATAAAGTAGGCTCTTTTTTTCCATCCGAAAATATATATTTATAAAAATATTTTATCCAGGTGATTAAAAAAAAAATAGGATCTTCGGTTCGATTAAAATGTTATTCGGGCGAGTGCTCTACCGTTTGAGCTACCTACGAACATTTGGTCTCTTAATTATTTACAAGTTAAGGAACTAATCAAATAATCACGTTAAGTTATAAAATACAACCCTAAGTATTTTTTAAATATCACGTATCTTTCTGAAAATTCACAGCTAAAGAATAGAAATTTTGTAATAAAAGGCATTTGTTAATGTATTTATTGTAGTCATAACACCGGTTACTCTCACCATAGAATGCTACAAGTAAAAGTTGACCAATTGCTTTATTATGACAATTTGTTGCATGGAATTAATCACAAGTCATATTTTCCCAATATTCATAATCTCTTGATCATATCTTAATGTTTCTGGTCGGGAGAGACGGATCTCGGTACCATGAAGTATGTAATTAACCGATTTGCTTACCGGTGGATTTCATAATAGCATTATAGACATGATATCTGAAGAACGCCCAAGCGGCGCACCACCAATATCCAAACGATTAATTACACGCATCATGCGAGAATTTGAGAACCATCAATCACGTTCGTAGGCCGGGATTCGAACCCAGAACCTCTCACTTTCCGATCGAACGCTCTACCACTTGAGCCACGAAGTCCTACGTAAATAAATAGTTTAATACGTGTGAATATATACATATGATTAATTTCATATCTTAGAAAAATTACTACGTTATGAAATATCTAAGAAAATGGTAACGATTGATCCTGACATTATAACGTAGAAATATATTTTGCAAAAAGTATTTTTACAAAAGTTTTCAATCTTTTAAAATTAACACTATTCCATTAATTATTATATATTATTCGAATTGACTATGATTGTGTGTGGTCCTTCCATGTCATCTATTAACTCGTAGCTTATGTCTCCTATATTGGCACAAATTCCAAATAGCACCAATTTCTAAAATTTTTGCGAAAGGTTGCAATGTCACGTCGGTTTCTTAGAATTGTTCGGGTTCTTTTTCCAGTTCACGATAACAAAGATAATTTACGTATCTTGATGGAACTCGACATAAAGAGACAGTTTTTTACAACCAGATACATAGAACTTTTCTGGGAGAATACCTGCAATTTAATGAAAATAATAACGAATATTGCACAAAAGTTGCAGATAAATGATGTATTAATTCCTTAGTTAGTAATAATATTATTATTTCTTAAAAAATGGTTACATTAGAAATTTATAAAATAAAATTAGTTGTTTCTTTCGTCCAAAAATAAAATTCTTAATGAGAAGGTATCACAGGGAACTTGGACATAAAAAAAGAAGTAGAACTTAATTTAACTAAGTTGRACGTTTCGTCCCTTTATTAGGACTTCTTCAGCAACTTAATCTTTATAGTTCAGCGTCTTTTTTCATTGAGTAAACATAAATTTTTATTTTTATTTTTAATATTCAAAACACAAAACATCTAAATTTCGTTAAGTATTAGCTCGTTCTTTAGCTTTTTTTTTTTTTATGTCCAAGTTCCCTGTGATACCTTCTCATTAAGAATTTTATTTTTGGACGAGAGAAACAACTGATTAAATAATATTGCTGAGGGGCTTTTTTGACTATTTGGTAACAAATTACGATATAACAACAATGAAACATGCAAAAAATTGGATTAACGACCTTAGCAAATTGGCAGCAAACAAAAATAAATTAATATTCCTAATACAATGCAAACATAAACAAGTATATCCTAAACATATTATAAACAACTTAAAATGAATGTACGCTATCCAAGCTGAAACACATCCTTATAAAAAAGAGACAGATAAATTAATTAAGTCTCTAAAACATAAGATCCTTAAATTAGAAATAAAAATCACAGCTTGGAAATTTAAGACAATCGAAAAGAGCATCAGCATAACACATAATATTTACAGAATAAATTATCAATAACAGATTTTACAAATTGCGCAACATTTTTTAACAAAAACTATGAAAATAAATTTAAAACTATAAAAAAGAACAACATTAAAAAATTAAATAATTTGTTAAATGATATTTCACATAATAGCAATAAGATAAATAGACATAATAATTGTATCTATAATTTTACGGATTTTGAGCTACCAGGCGAAGTGGAAAAAAGATTATTTCTAGAACCAGGGTATGGTATCCCAATAAGACCGAATAAAGTTCCAGTTTGTTCGTTAAAAAAAGACTTAGAGGAAGGCATAAGACATAATAACAGCACGAAAAGAGATAATACGAATATAAGGGACGAACAAAATAATGTAAGAGCAAAGGCTGTAAATATAATTTCTAATTATTATAAGAATAACCAAAGACCATGGAAGGATGAAGTAACGAAGAACTTTCTAACAACAAAACGTTTCCTAAAAGACAATCCGAATTTAATTATAATGAGATCGGACAAAGGTAATAACACAGTCATCATGAAGAAAGAAGAATACTTAGAGGAAATGCACAAAATGTTACAAGATAAAAATATATATCAATTATTGAATAAAGATCCTACCAGTAGATTCGAGAAATTAGCCAATAATTTGATAACGTAACTAAAGAAAGAATCGATTATCACAGAAGATATAGAAATGAACATGAAATCTTACAATTCAGTCGCCCAAACATTATATGAACTTAGAAAAACACACAAACAAGGCTTAGCCATAAGACCAGTCGTAAGCTGCATTCGTTCACCGTGCTATAAATTAGCACAATTTTTACATCATAAATTATCCTCAGCAATGACAAACAAATTTGTGTTTTCGGTTAAGAATTCTTTTGAGTTTGTAGAATTCATACAAAAAATAAMACTACCAGAAGAATACAGATTAGTATCGTTAGATGTAATCTCATTGTTCACGAACATCCCGAAAAAACTGGTAATAAAAACGATAAATGAAGACTGGGATGAACTCACAAACTTCATACCGATACCAAAAAACATCTTACTGGAAATAATACAATTTTGTTTTGAATCAAGCTACTTCCAATTCAACGGATCTTTTTACCAACAACTTGATGGTTCTAGCATGGGCAATCCAGCAAGCCCAATATTAGCGAATTTGGTAATGAATAACGTTTTAAAAAAAATTGAAGGCAATTTACCTTTTGCAGTCCTATTCTTAAAAGTATATGTAGATGATATTATTACTGCAATACCTAAAGACGGAATCGAATTAGTACTTAAGACCTTCAATATGATAAATGAAAAAATCCAGTTCACCACCGAAGTGGAAAACAACGGAGCATTACCATTCTTAGATGTAACAACCATCAAAAATGAAGACGGAACCATATTAACGAATTGGTAAAAAAAAAAAGTCAAAGAACGAGCTAATACTTAGCGAAGTTTAGATGTTTTGTGTTTTGAATATTAAAAATAAAAATAAAAATGTATGTCTACTCAATGAAAAAAGACGCTGAACTATAAAGATTAAGTTGCTGAAGAAGTCCTAATAAAGGGACGAAACATCCAACTTAGTTAAACTAAGTACTTCTTTTTTTTATGTCCAAGTTCCCTGTGAAGCCTTCTCATTAAGAATAAAATAAAATATTTCAAAACTACTTCAAATGTGTGTGTGTGTATGTGTTRTCAGATTATCTTCAAAATTTATATACTTAAATCTCGATAATTATGTTACATAGTATTTGTATCAATTCATTCAAAGTATAGTCGCACATGCATATTTTAAATGTATAATAACGCTTGTTTAAATGCTTTAGCGAGTCATTGTAACATGACTTCTCTCACTTTTCTTTTTTATATCTAAAGAATATATTTATAAAAACGTTGTATCCAGATGATGAAAAAAAAAGATCTTCAGTTCGATTAATTAAAATTTCGGGCGATTGCTCTAACCGTTTGAGCTACTCTAAAAGTTTTTATTATTCTAGGATACAACCTTCCACGGTGTAAAGGGGATTTTCACTAATAAGATCTAAAGATCACAAAAATATCACAGATCGTTCGGAGAAACTTACATCAATAAGATAGGAGTTTTTTTGATTCGTTGCCCAGTATTGCAGTTGTGACTTTTAAAAGTCACTTATAAACTGCAAACTTATAACTTTCTTTGTAATAATGGGACTTATATTGAATCATGAATCTTCCTTAGTACACGCAACAAGAATTGTGTTGAGATTCCAGATTCAACCAGGACTCGATCTATTAATGTTCATAATCGAGATCCGATGCCTCTCATCTAACACACACCTTAGCTCATTCAGGAACTACATCTAAACTTATAACTAAGAAGAAAATTCGGGTTTATGTTATATACCTTTGGTATGTAGCTTTGTTTACCGTATATGGAGGGGAAAATATAGATTATTGTATAACTTGAGGGACAGCACACTGGATAACTATACTTTATAGTTTCTAATATTAATACCATCATCATTCCTAAGCTGGGATTTGAACCCGGAACCTCTCGCTTACCGAACGAACGCTCAACCACATGAGCTACGAAGTCCTCCATGAATATAATCCTTATATAACATATATATAAATATGTATAATTAATTTTTAAAACTTTGAAAAATTACCACGTCTTGAAAT